GGCCAGAAAATTGAAAAAAATCCTACATTTGATCATTTTTTAAAAGTTGCGGGACTATTAATATTTTCTGCATTCCGTTGGGATAAAAAATGTCACCCCCTATACCTGTGGGACTAATTTTTAAATTTTTCCTTACAAATAATAACATGATAATATAGCAACGAATAAGATGACATATAATTTAATATCGTAGTTTATTATAGTTTATTTTATGGAATCGAAAACATTCAATTAACATGTATAATTTTTCAATACTTTTTTTTTAAAATTATACAAGGCTATAAAATTTTGTTTATTCATTTTGAACTACTTTTTTAATAATGATGGGATATATTATTTAAGGCGTGATTGGATGTGAGTTGTGATGCAACTCAACCGGTTACAACCCGTTGAGCCATTTCATACCCTATCACCTAATTCTAAATATAACTCAACCACACCTTTTATAAATATAATTAAATAGTATCAATCAATCATTTTCACACATCATATCAACTTTTTAATTCACTATTCATCAACTCACAAAATTTTAATTACATAACACTTTCAATAACTTATCTCTTACTTTTACATATTATCAATTTTAATTATTATTTATTTTAAATCTATTTTATTCAAAATAACTCACTTTCACTCTGTGCCCGAGTGTCACCTTATTACCCTGTTGGGGTCTGGCACTCGGATATTATCCTTTTGGGGTCCGACGCTCGGGTATTACCCTGTTGGGGTTTTGTTTTGTTTTGTTATTGTTGTTTGTGTTTTGTTTAGGTGAGTCGCGTGGTGTCTTTATTCTAGCGGTGCTAGTCGGGATCTTAGGCGGTCGTCTGACCTGTCCTCCCCTTTTCTTTTTTCTTTTTTTCAGCTGTTGGCTGCGATGTATTCAGCCGTTGGCTGCTGTATATTCGCACTTTTGTGCCTTTGATTTATTTATATATATTATCGTTGGAAAAAAAAAACTCATTTTCACTCACCAAGTTGAATCATAACTGATTTAATTCATATCCAATCATCACTTTCTTGGTTTGTCTTTTCAGTATTTTGTTTGTAATTGTTGTTTACATATATTTTAATATATACTTTTAGCATAAACTTCTTAAATATATGAGATATATCAATCAAAACATTATTTTACATTATCATAAACTAAATATATTTAATTTAATATGCAATATAATCTCATTGCACATAAGTCATGGTCTCCAATTTCAATATGAAATCGAACTAAACCTTTTTTTTGTCGAAATGATAGGAATCCCAATAAATAAAACCAGGAACATAGTTCGATTACAAACAAGCAAACCATCAAAATGAAATGTGCGATAATGGGAGACCTCCCCGAGGAGGTCTAAAGAAGAAAAATAACAATGGCAGCACAAGGCTGAAAACCAATGCTAACGCAGTCCAAGATAAACTAAGAAGAGCTAAAAAACTGTCCCAGACTTAGATTAACTCTTCCTAGCCAAGCCACCTAAGAGACCTTCACATATTCCTGCCACTCCCTTAGAGTTAGTCTAACAAGACTTTGCTTCGGGAGGCTCTGCTTTTTAAATATCCAGAGATTACGGGATTTCCACAACCACCACATAAAGTAAGTGGATAGTTGTATTCTGCTTTCATCAACCTCCTTAGAGCCAACAGAGCAGATACTCCACCACCAGTCAGGAAAAGAGGATGAGGGCAGAGTGAAACAATCCCAGCTAACTGGAGCAACTTTCCAAACCTTATGCGCCTTGCTGCAGTGCCACAAGACATCGACGATATCTTCACATCGATTTTTCACTGGAAACACACGACATTTTCTTTTACCATTTGTGAAGAAATTCCAAATGAGAAGAAGAATAGAGTTCATCTTTCAAATGACAAGCCAATTTTTTTTATAATTTGTTTAAACGACATCGTGTTGTGGCATGTGGTTAATTTATAATTTTTGTGAGCGTGAACAATTAATGACAAGTTAGATTTTTGGGAGTGTCACTGGAAGCTCTTGTCATTGAAAAAATCGCCTGTGACTAAATTTGCGAAAAATGAAAAATTGGTGAGTTTAATTGCTAAATGCAAAAAGTGGTGTTTGGATTTTTATTTTTTAAAAGTGCCTTATTAAGAAATTTGACTTTGTGTAAATAGGTAAAACTAATTGACCAATTATTATGAACTATTTCTATAATTAATTTGAATTGTCTTGATAAATCATTCATAAATCCACTAAATAAACTAGTTTCTAAGGCATTTACATTCATGTCATTTATAGACATATAAATGGACTACAAGTTGAATGGAGTGGCTGAAAAAAATGGTCAGAAGCTCTTTACTTGGTCTTGCATTAAATCAGATAAAGGGGACTACAAGGTTGGGATGTTACAGGGCATTAGAACAATTTTACAGAAGTTGAGAGCATCAAGTGAACAAAATATGGTCTGTTACTTACCAGACTTGCAGGTGGTTAGAATTCTGACAAAAGAACTGATGTGTGAGACCAAGATAAAGAGTATTTGCTTTGATATCTGGTGGTTATGCGAAAGTAGTGTTAATTGTGTATTTGTTTTCGATCCAGGGGAATGTAGAAGTAGTTGTCTTTTAGCTTCTTTGGCGATTAACGGACAATGTTGTTACTGATCCGACTATTCCTTAGCTTGGTTTTCAAGTTATGTGTTTGGGCTCAGTGGAGTCCTCGATTGTAAGACTATCATTGAGATTTTTATAATATTTGGTTAATTTTTTTTTTAAAAAAAATGGAATGTACAAGTATTAATACCAATGTGACCAATTCGTTTCAACTAGTATTCTATCTGGTACACATGCACAAATGTTTAAATTATTATAAGTCACTAGTACAACGTTCGTGTATTACACGGGTTCTTGTTAATTTTTTTAAAAAAATTTAAATTTAATGAGCAAAAGTAGTTGAAAATTAAAATACTTATAACATATAACTACATTAAACATAAATATATTAATTGAGAAATAATTTTATTTTTCTAGTTTTATTTTTCTAGTTAGTTTTGATGAATATTTTTATTATTATTATAAAGATAAATATAATTTATGAATTTTATATATTCAATATGGATATCAAATAAAAGTTTATCAAAAGATGATTAATTTGATATATTATATATGTAAAATCAATAAGAAATACAAATGTTATCAACTTTTAAAATATATTTACAATTCAATAGTTATAATAGAAAATGATATTAAAATACAATTATTACATCTAATATGATCATAAATAAATCAACATATATATGGTAATCCAAACCTAATTATTTTTGTATTGAAACTAAATTCAAATCTATCCAAGACAAATAACAAAGCTGAAATTTTGGCACCTAGGATCTCAAAGCATTCGAGCCTGTCACTTAGACTCGGCACATTCAAGAATTATGTATAGGGGGATATAGGGGGGATATTTATTTATATAATATTAAAATTATAAGTTAAATAATAGTATCACATTTTAAAAATTTTGTCATTAGTAAAAATTAACATTATAAAAGTATTCAACTTTGATATAGCATAAGATAACATTTATATAGACCGGTTGAAATCGGATCGGTTTATGGGCCGAGCAGATTAAGTTCGGTGTGGCATGTGCTCGGCCCATTATTAGCTCGGTTAGGATTGGTTGGACTTGTAGGTGACTGGACCGAGCAGATGTTGTAACATATGGGTTTGGCCCAATAGTAGCTGGATAAGGCGTACAAAGAAAGCAAGAGAGCGGGAGATAAATAGGTTGATGTTTGGAGGTATGAGTTCTTACGTTACAAAACCCTAAAATAAATACTGTGCTTTCTTCGAGACCCTACTAACTTGAGCGTTGGAGGTTTACCGTCGGGAACACTTCCAGGCGTCCTTGTAGGTTTCTGAGGGCTCAGACTGTTGGAGATCGAGGAAGGCCGGTCCAGTGTGCGATAGCACATCAAACTTCATCACTATTTTTTTTATTAAGCTATAATTATAGTAATTACTTAAAAACTTGAAGCAGTACAAACGTGTCAACTGACACTATTGAAATCAGAACTATGTCTGGACCAATCCTCTTTGGGATTACAAAGGTTCCAAAGGGATACAAACTCCATCAAGGAGAAATACGACCACAGAACATAAAAACTCCATAAAGGAGACACAAAATCCATATAGGATACTAATGTCAGACGAAGTTATACTAACAAAATGAAAAAATAATGGATAAAATTAAAAAACGACGCACACCTAATAACTTCATTTGTTGATTGCATAAAATGAAATGAATCATGTAGTTTTTGTAATTTTGAGGATCATGACCTATTAATTATCTTAAAGTTTATTATTATTATTATTATTATTATTATTATTATTATTATTATTATTATTATTATTATTATT